TGTACTTCGTTAAGATGTCTGCACTGTTGTGATCTTTGCTATTTGATAATGTTGTTCTTGATGAGGTCTTGTGTGTGTAGAGGAGCTTGAGGTAGATGTGTTTTGCTCGTTTGCTTGAACCTTGTCGTGTAGCTATGCTCTTGCCTGCTGTAGAGTCGCTGTGAATGCGTATGTTGATTGTAGTGCATATGTTTGTTTCCAGGAGCAAGGGTCTCAGGTGCAGTCCTTCATTCACTCCTGTGCAAATTGCGTAGAGCTCTGATTCTGCTGAGCTCAAAGCAACTGTAGCTTGAGTTCGGCTTCCAAATGCTATCGTTGTGTTGAGTAGTTTGATGTTGAAGCCTGATGTTGATTTGCGTGTAGTTGGGCATCCTGCCCAATCGGCATCAACGTAGATCTCAAGGTCGAGGCAGTTGTTGGTGTCAGAGTTGAGTGTAGTGCTTGGTTGCATTATGAGCTTGTAGTGCTTGGTTCCTTGAAGGTAGCGTAGTAAGTGTTTGACTCGTTTGTTGGAAAGTTCGGTAGGTGCTGTGAGGCCCCTTGCAAGTTCTTTGGTAGAGCAAGCAATGTCTGGTCGTGTGTAGGCTAGCCATTGTAGTTTTCCTACAACACGTCTGTACCTCTTGTGTTGTTGTTTGTCAAGTAGTGCTTCATCTTCCACTGTGGGCAGGCGTAGCCACAGGGTTGCACTTCTTGAGGCTTGCTTCCTCAATAATGGTGTTGATGTAGGAGTCGGCCAGTCCGATGGTGATGTGATCACCGGTGTGTTCGATGATTCTTCCAAGGAATTGTTGTGGTTGTTGTGGTTCAATGTAGCCAATGTGTTTGAGTAGTACTCGTTGTTGGATCGCCTCAAAGGTCTTGTTGACTATAGCTGGGTCGCCAAGAACACGTAGATCGTCAACGTACACCATGATGTAGCAGTGTCTTGTAGGCGAAATGTAGACGTTGGGTTAGTCGTTTGAAGCGTAGTTCTTGTAGGACTTGTGCTAAGTAGTCTTGCCATGCCTTTGGTGAACTGCGTAGTCCGTACATGGCTTTTCGTAGTTGCCACAGTTTGTTTTGTTGCGCAGAGTTTTTTTGGCAAAATGTAAGTTGGCTTTTCGTTGTGCTGTGAGAGTGGTGCGTGTAGGAATGCTGTAGATACGTCTCCTAGCCGTGCTGTCCATCCTGGTTGTGCTAGTTGTAGTAGAAGTATCCGTAGTATTTTGAACATTGGTGTAGATGCGTACACGGAGTCCTCGTCGTCGATTTTCTCGCTGTAACCTTATGCAACGATGCGTGGGCGAACTTGTAGTCCTTTCTCACGGTGTACCCATCGCGTAGGGATTGCTTTCCTTATTGTAGAGGTCAGGTGTGGACATGTCTACTTCTTCGTAGACTTCGTGTAGTTTCATTTGTGTTGCCTCTGTTTTCATTCCTTCCAGTAGTTTGGATTCGTCGAATCCTTCAATGTCAAGAACGATTGGTTGTTGTTGTTCGTCGGGGTCGTCGTTCGTGTGCGATTGGAGTGTAGTTCCGTCGTGTATTTCGATTGCTGCGATCATAATGGTCCGTTGTCGTTGTGATTGTGGTTCTGTAGTGTCTTGTTCGGTCGTCCTGACAGTAGTTCCTTCTTTCGTTTTTTGAGCCTTTGTTGGTTGCATTACTTTGTCTTGATTTAGTCGTCGTAGTGGTTGTGTTGTTGTTGGTGGTGTTGGTAGTGGTGGATGTCGGCGTGTGGTCAGTGATGTAGCCATTGGTGAGTCCGGTAGCTGCGAACTTGAAGATCCTGTCGTAGGTCTTGTCGAAAGTAAGAACGGTGCAGTAGTTCGCGCTTGTTTGCTCGGTGGTGGTTGTGGTACGTCGTCTTCAGCGTTAGTCTGTTGTCCTGCGTCACGTTGAGGTGGTCGTGGAGATTGCGACGGTGGTCGTAGTGCTGTAGTTTCCATAAGTGTCGTAAACTTCGGGTCGTAGGTGATACGTCTCGGTGACCATGGAGTTCCGGTTGTCTTGTTCCGTAGTGCGAGGTCGTATTTGAAGTCCGGTTGTAGTCTCCTCACCGTGCGTACTTTCGTCACTCCTTGTTCTGTAGCCACGTAGTTTTCACCTGTTTCGGAAACCTTACCTAGCCAGATGCGTTTCTGCATGCGTAGTTCGGCTTCAGGTAGACTCTTGTGCTGTGGTGGCATGTACAGTAGTGTTTCTTAGAATTCTACGATTGCTCGCTCGTAGTTGCGTCCCCAGCGTCGTTCGAAGCTGCTGTAGCCGTCGGAGTGTACTACGGCGGTTGATAGTCCACGCAGCGTGTCGTATGATCCATGGTAGTAAGGGATGTTTCACGTTGAGTGTGATCCCCGTAGTTGCGTTCGACTTGTGCCTTCAAGGTGCGTGTTTGGCCAAGTAGTGTTCGGTGTAGTCGTTCCCTTGGCTGTTACTGTTGTAGGCCGGTGAGTGTCGTACTGTCATGGATCCTAGTTTTCTGCTGTGGCTTTTAGTAGGTGTTGAGTGTGTCCTCGTTGTCGCTTTGTAGTATTCCATTGTGCGACCGCATTCCAGAATGAATGTTTGTAGGTTGTTGATCATGTAGTCCATCATCGAGGACTTGTCCGGAACGAGACATGCCGTGCACAGTTGTGTAGTTGCGTCAACTGCTGTATGTAGGCGAAGTCGACCTGAGTGACGGGTTGCCGTGCTCGTTGTGTTTTGTAGTTGCCTTGCCGTCCTCTTCCCTGTGCACAGGTTGGACACCAATCTCTGCAGGGAAGATGTGTGAGTTCATGTTCACGAACATGAACTTGCTGTGATGTAGGTTTGCGAGGTTGTAGCAGTCCTTTGGCTCGTTGTGCTTCTACGTGTGGTTCATCATCTGCAACGGTGTTGTCATCCATGTAGTGGTATCCTTCCTTCACAGTGAACCGTACTGTACCGGTCCATGTGTAAGGTAGGTGAGTGTTACCAGCTGTGTCCAGTCGTCCTTGTGTTGTTTGACTTGATAGAAGTTGTTGGGGGTGATTGTAGTTCTGGAAGGCTCAAGCAAGTCAATTGGTGGGTGTCCTCTGTTGGAATGAACATTGTAGTGTGTGGTACCAAGTGGTGTCTGGTCCAGTGTTCTCCTTGTCGTTCCCAGTAGTCTTGCTTGCCTTCTTGTTGTGTCGGTGGTCTAGTTATTTTGGATGTAGGTGCCAGTGTGTCAATGCTTGTTGGTTGTGTTTGTTGTGCTTTAGGCCTCCAAATCTTTTGTGGAGTGCGCATTGTGAGTGATGTCCTGGTTGTAGTTGTTGGTTGTTTTTCAGGTTGTGCACTTGAGCCTTGTCGTGCGATTGTATTTTTTCTTGTGATCCTTTGTGTAGGATTCATCTTTCCCTTAAACCTAGTTTCACCAACCCAGTCGTCACCGGGTAGTCGTTTGTGAAGTTCGGTTTTGGCAATCTGCTTCATGAAGTCTTGTAGTATCTGCGGTTCCTTGCCAGTTCTGACAACTGTAATTTGTCTCCAGTCGTCTAGTTGTTCTGTAGGTATTGGGCATCCGGAGTCTTCTGGTGTGAAGAGCGCTTTTCGTGGGCGCTTGTGTACTCGGATGGCGTAGTCACCATCGAGTTGCCAGTAGTCAGTGTTTCCTCCAAGAATCCTTTGTAGTCCTTGGTCAGTGTGAGTGGCAAGTGGTTGTCCGTAGTGATTGGTTGTATCACAGCTCTCATGACTCCGTCGTGGTCCATTAGTGGTTGTAGTTCGTGATCTTTGGGAATGTAGATCCGCCTGATGGCCAAGTAGAAGAGTTTTTCAGTCGAAGTAGTGGTGCTGTGTTGTCACCGTTTGAAAGTGAGCAGTGTTGTGTGTCCAGTTTCAGCTTGTAACCTCGATCCCGTAGTCTTGATGCGCTAAGGATCGGGTACTTCACGTCACAAACGTAGTAGGGAATCATGATCTTGAAGTTGTCCTTTTGTTAGGGCGCGTACTTGATTCCGTAGGGTCGAACTCGTTGTCGATGACCAAGTAGGCTTGTAGCTTGAATCTCCATTCATCGTAGTTGGAGTAGTCACCATTGAAGTATGGTGGTAGTTTGTACTTGTGTAGTCTCTGCACATCGCTTTCTGCCTGTGCTGCTGCTGTTGTTTGTAGTTTGTGCTGGTGGTATGCCTGCTAATGCTGCCTGTTGATCTCCTGCTGTCATGTCGTAGTAGTTGAGCATACTGTGGTGCTACTGTAGTCACTACTACTGGAGCTGCCCTTCGGGTAGGATCGCTGCCACGTTAAAGTACAAGTGCAAATGCTGTGTAGTTCTTATGACAAACAAATGTAGTCTGCCGCAGCCCTTGTTTTCTCTCCAGCGGTAGTGAGGCTCAAGGCCTGCAGTATGTATCAACTACCAGTGTAGTGCGCATGCAACTGTATCATGCACTCACTGTAGTTTACCATCTCTCTCAGTGTTCGTATTTAATTGCGTGAGGTCGTTCCTGCGAGCGTCTGCGTCTGCAAGCGAACGCGTGGACGTGCAGGCGGGTTGCGCGCGGCGCAGGAGTGCGGGTGTGCGGTGGGAGAGGCCGGCGGGCGTGGGTGCGTGCGTGCTTGCGTGGGTGTGCGCTCGCGTCGTGATTCCCTGCGTGCCCGTGTCTGTGTTTGTCTGTGTCTGTCTCTGTGTCTGTGTCTGTGTCTGTGTCTGTGTGTTTGTGTTTGTGTTTTTGTGTCTGTGTCTGCGTCTGTGTGTCTGTGTCTGTGCGTGTGTGTCTGTGTGTCTGTGCGTGTGTGTCTGTGTGTCTATGTGTCTGTGTGTCTGTGTGTCTGTGTGTCTGTGTGTCTGTGTGTCTGTGTGTCTGTGTGTCTGTGTGTGTGCCTGTGTCTCTCTCTGTGTCTCGGCGTCTGTGTGTCTGTGTGTTTGTGTCTACTTTTATGCGTGCGTGTGGACATGCAAAAGCTTAGCAGGACATTAGCAACGGATCAGAGAAGCGCTGGCAGGCGACGGGGCTGGCAACTGTTGGTCCCTTGCCGTAAGCCAGAGCGAATGTTGGCGAGACAAACGCCAGGAGTGGACTGTTGCAACACAACATCCTTAGGCGCCGGGTCGCTGCTCAAGAAAGGTGCGGCCGTGGGACTGGCTTGCCACACGTCTCGCCCTTCATGACATGACCCACAACCGCTTGAAGGCGTACTGGATCCTTGCCGTGGCCTCCCAACGCAGCACGCGTTCAGTTGCGTTGGGCTTGGGCTTGCGGCGGGGCTTCACGACGCTTCACCCACATGACCGGGATCCCCGTGCTTTAAGTCATGGGAACAAGGAATTGAAGTCCCTTGCCTTCAAGGTGGCGACAGCGATCTCCCAGCAAAGACGGCAGCTCGAATGGCAAGCAGCGTTGCAGGTCTTTTGGGCATATGTGCACCGTGTGCGCCGCGACGTGCTGATCCCGCCATTCAATGCTGCCATTGCAGCACCTCTTGCAAGCATTGAGGGGGTCAGCACCAAGTTGATAGGTTGCGCGCCAGTTGGGCATGTGATTCCGTCCGGCTGGCAGGCATGCGAAGTTGGCAGTTGCTGGCAGCTTGCGATGTCATTGATGGCTGACGCTTCCACCTTCGCTTTAGCACCCAATGTGCCTTGGCATTTGGCACGAGCTCGCTCGAGTGAGTGCTGACAGCGCAGGTCCGAGAGGATCCCGACAATTTTCCAGCATTCAGAGAACTGGGCGCTCTGAGGCTGTGACTGTGACAGCGCTGATGTCAGCTTGCCGGAGAGGACATCAGTGGCAAAGAGCGCTTCACATTTTCAAGCATTTTGCTGCTGATGGATCGGCAGATGCTGGGCTTCTCGGAATTGCCATATCCTGCACCTGAGTCCGCGCTTCCATGCATGTCTACTTCATTCTTGTGTTGTTGCAGTTCCATCGGTTGGGAATCAAGGCACTGCATGTGGCCACTTGTGGCAGAGCGCCTTGCATCTGTTAGACCTGTCCGACCGCCTGGGCGTCCGCAACCTGGCCCTGCAGAATGCCAGCATCCTGGCATGCGAAAAGGCGCGGCGCTGGGAGGCCGCTCTACATTTGCTGGAGGAAGCTGTGGGGTCCTCCGGCCTCGGGCTGTCTGGAACGGCGCTGACGTCAGTCACCGTGAACCTCGCGGTCTCCGCCTGCCAGAAAGCGCGGCAGTGGGGCGCCGCACTGCGCCTCGCCGCGCGCTTCGCTCGGTCGGCGGATGTGGTGGGGGAGACGGTGGCCATCGGCGCTTTGGGAGCCGCGCGGCGCTGGCAGGAGGCGCTGCGCCGGTTTCGGGCGCTCGAGGCGCTCGAGGCCTCGCCGTGCCAGATGGCTGCGGCTCACACCGCCACCGCCTTCAGCTTGGAGCGGGCCACGTGCTGGGAAATCGCCCTAGTCCTGGCCACACCGCTCAACCGGCGCAGTGCTGAGGCAACGGCGACCCATTGTTTCTAATTGCACATTTTCACATCTTTTGCTCAACATGTTTTCATCTTCCACCCAACTCCCTGAGATGGCGGCCATCGCAGCAGCTCGAACTGGCCGCTGGCAGGTGGCCTTGCTGATGGCGCAGAGCCATTTTGGCAAACAGCTGGCGGTCCAGTCCTGTGCTGCTTGGTTGCAACACATGGGATGTATGATGGTACATGATGCATTTGCTTGTGCATGTCTTTGCACAGGAGCAATCTGGTTGCTGGGGAGTGGATGTTGCTGGCTCTTCACAGCTGATCGACGCAGTACAGCGGTGGAAGGCACGGGGTTTTGCTTTTGCTGTCTCGGAGCCGCCTTTCGAGCTAAGGTGGATTTGGAAGGAGGCGCCTTGAGGGGCAGAGGGGAGCACGTAGAGATCTTGGTGCGCCCGGGGGCGGCGCCAAGCAACGCGGCTCGCTGCATATCATGGCATGGCATGGCATGGTCGCTCAGATCGCTTCATGGCAGTATGCAGAACGAGGCCATTTGGTGTGTGACAGCACGGGATTGGCTGGAGCAGAGATTGGTCAAAAGGCCGAGATGGCACATCTTTTGCCAGAGTTCAGGCACAAGCTTCTTCCAGTGACACTGACTGTAGTGTGGGTTGGCAGCTTTTTGATCACAGCTTTGGCATTATCTTCGCTCACCGCCTTCGGACCCCCCCCACCCCAAACTTCCTCACCTTCGCACAGCATGAGACACGTGAAGCGCGGTCAGAAATTTCGGAAAATATAAGGGAGGGCCATTTTTTTAGTTTTTTTCTTCGTTTTTTTTAGGAATTATTTTTGTTTTTCAGGGTGGGTGGCTTTTCGGCTTTTTGGCTTTTGTGGCTTTTACGTGGGCTTTTGTGGCTTTTGTGGCTTTTCATTTCGCATCCTCTGCATTCACAGTTCCTCTCTTTCGCATCCTCTGCATTGCCAGTTCCGCTGGCTTTTTGGCTTTGTGGCTTTTGGCGGCTTTCTGGCTTTGGCTTTTCGCATCCGCTGCTTTCCCAGTTGGGTTTTGGCCTTGGCTTCCTGCATCCTCAGCATCGCAAGTTCCTCTCTGGTGCCCCCCGCCACCCCCTTTCGATTAAAATGCACGCCTAATTGAATCATCACTTTTTCGATCATCATGCGACAGCTGCTTTTTATATTCTTTGGCTGCCATTTTACAGGGATTAGTTTGCCTGTGATTGAATCCTCACTTGTACCATGAGGCCTTGCCGCAGAGGAACTGATGACCCCCATACTGCTTTTTATACTTTTTTGGCCCTAATTGAATCATCACTTTTTCAATCATCGTGGGGGGGGCTGCCGCCCCCCCCCCCCAACCCCCCCGCTATTTTTTTGACTTTTTGCCCCTATTTGAACCATCACTTTTTCGATCATCATGCGACCGCTACTTTTTAGAGTCTTTGCCCCTAATTGTTCGATCATCATGGGGGGGGCTGCCGCCCCCCCCCCCCAACCCCCTCGCTATTTTTTGGACTTTCTGCCCCTGGTTGAATCATCACTTTTTCGATCTGCAGGGATTAGTTTGCCCGTATTTAAACCCTCACTTGTACCATGAGGCCTTGGCGCAGAGGCACTGATGCCCCCCCCGCTGCTTTTATTTTTATTTTTTTAATTTTTTTGGCCCATTGAATCATCATTTTTTTCAAACATCATCTCATCACTTTTTTCAATCATCATCCCCCCCGACTTTTTGCCTTTGATTGAATCATCACTTTTTCGATCATCATGGGGGGGCTGCCGCCCCGCGCCTTTAATTGAATCATCATTTTTTCAATCATCATGGGGGGAATTGCCGCCCCCCCACCCCCGCTACGTTTTAGGTGTTTTACAGGGATTAGTTTGCCCGTGATTGAATCCTCACTTGTACCATGCGGCCTTGCCGCAGAGGAACTGATGACCCCCCCGCTGCTTTTTTTATATTTTTTTGGCCCTAATTGAATCATCACTTTTTCAATCATCGTGGGGGGGCTGCCGCCCCCCCCAACCTCCCCGCTATTTTTCCTAATTGTTCGATCATCATGGGGGGGCTGCCGCCCCCCCCCCCCCCCCCAACCCCCCCGCTATTTTTTGGACTTTCTGCCCCTGGTTGAATCATCACTTTTTCGATCTACAGGGATTAGTTTGCCCGTGATTGAACCCTCACTTGTACCATGAGGCCTTGCCGCAGAGGAACTGATGACCCCCCCGCTGCTTTTTTAATATTTTTTTGGCCCTCATTGAATCATCACTCCCCCGCTATTTTTTGGACTTTTTGCCCCTAATTGAATCATCACTTTTTCGATCATCATGCGACCGCTACTTTTTAGATTATTTGCCCCAATTGTTCGATCATCATGGGGGGGCTGCCGCCCCCCCCAACCCCCCCGCTATTTTTTAGACTTTTTGCCCCTGATTGAATCATCACTTTTTCGATCATCATGGGGGGGGCTGCCGCCCGAATTCTGGTCAGTGTCGTACTGATCACCCATGAGATGCTAATCTTCTGCTTGGTCTCTTGCAGCTTTTCTGTTCTTGCGGTTGATGTCATCGATGCTCCCAGAATCCTGAAAATTCACCCTCGTCTTGACAGACTTTGCAGAGCTGCATCCTTGATCAGATTCTTCTTGTTCCCTTCGGTCGAGCATTGTCTCTTTCGAGTCTCGGTTGGCTTGTGGTTGAAGAACTCATCGAAGTTGCGATCCGGAATGGTCTGATCAATTGTGTCCAGCGGAGCACTGTCGTCCCTTCTCATGGAGTTCCTTTCCAGGCTTCGGACAGGATGCCGTGCAACTTCTTGTCGTTGCCTGCGTGGACCATGAAGGACATGTCTTGATCATTCTACCTGTCTACTGCACGGTTTCCCCAACTGTTGCAGGTGATGGCCTACATAGTTGTGACTTGGGCGGAGGAGCCCAAGGATGTTTTTGGTCTGTTGTTCCACTTGATGATGGTGTTAGCTCTGGCTGCTTTGGTGGAAGACCCTGGCCATAATCATCATGGTGATCAGACCCGCAGGCGGGACTTGCATTCCGAGGTTGACGCGCCTCAACTGTTCTGTGGTACTCGATCGTCCTAAGAGCATGCTGCTCATCGATTTGGCTGATGGTACCATAAGTCTTTCTCTCTGCCTGTCGTTGTAATCTCCATCAAACTTCGGAAAAACGAACCAACTCGAAACGTGTCTTGTCACTTCTGGGAGAGCGTCGTGAGGCGCAAGTAAGTTCGGAATTGATGACCTGGTAGAGCTTTCATCATCTATCTTTGTTCACACTCTCGACGGCTTCGCAAAGATGCGGGACATACTCTGCTCAATCGTTCCGTTCTCCATCGGATCAAAGACATGATGCCGGGAAAGGCACGCATACTGATGAGATTCCGAGCTTTTTGCACAGAGCCCGGGCATTGCGGCTTGATTTGTGTGTGGCTAAAAATTAAAGAGCTTGGGTTACGCGGCTTTTGTCTTTGTGGGTGGCCATTTGCCAGGGTTCCATTTTGGGCACCCATTGTTGACTCTACATGTTCTACACCTAAACCCTCAAAACTTAAACCCTACAAACCCTACAAACCCAACACCTAAACCCTAAAAGCCCTAAAAACCCTCAACCCCGAAACCTCAACCCTCAAACCCTAAACCCCCAAAACTAAAAACCTAAAACACCCTCAATCTAAACCCTAACAACCCGGAACCAACACCTAAACAAAATCTCAAATCTTTTACACCAGTTTCTCACAAGTCCAACCTGGTCGGTGACAAGCTTCTTTTTTGCAATGCGGAAAACGTGGAAATACCGGCACATTTGACTTGTGAGAAAAGGAGAACACACGTGTGAGAAAAAAGGGCTTCGCATGAGACGGCAACGAGTTTCGATCTCTGGGCGCCTTTGCCATGGGCCTCCGTCGGCTGCGGCGCTTGCGGCGCCTGGCGCGGGTGCGCCGGAGAGCCACGCGTGCCGCGAGTGCAGGTAGCTTGGTCGGCATGCGTGCACGCGGCATCGAGACTTTGAGCATTGAGGTCCCATGGCCAAAAAGTGTCACGTGCCGAGGCCTCGAAGCTTTGCCAAGCTCGTTCAATGCACAGGCGTGGCCCATGCTGCTTAGGCGCGACCTGCTTGATGCTCACAGTGCGTGCCATGCGCAGGATGTGAACTGCAAGGTCCAAGCCAACCTCGACAAGAGCCGGACGTTGGGTGCACAAAGTCGTCAAAATCACACAAAAACTGAGCAGCTCTTGGCGCGGACGGCTGCCCGGCATCACCAATGCTTCACCTGATGTAGCGTTTGTTTGTGTTTCCGCCACCAGTCAAGCTCCGAGACTTGAGGCAGTCAAGCGTGCATTGCCCCGGTATGCTCGCATAAATGTTCTGGCACCAGGACCCCCAGATTGGGAGACACAGACTCAATAATTTTGCAGCATGCTTGCATGTTGTTGCTGTCAACAGCCTTCATTGCAATATGTCCCCAGGACTGAGCTGGGGCCACGTGCAACGGCAACTGCAGCAGTCAGGGCACGTCTTTTGGCGCCCTAGCTTGCATGAGAAGAGGGCTGCTGCCTGCGTTTCTGCCGGGCTGCAGCCGCCAGAAGGCAATAAGCGTCTCGGACATTGGAATTCAGCCAGCACTTTATTTTTTCTGCCTTGCTTAAGCTTGCCTGAGGATCTACTATCGGGATGTTCACTTGCCTGAGCTCCTGGTGTTCAAGCCGATGGGCCAGTCACACACAGATGGCGTGGCTTGCGCGTGCAAGCGGCTTTTGTTTTTTGTTTTGCAAAGGGGCCTTCGTCTTCTGCCAGATGCCTCAGGAGCTCTTTGACGAAGGGGGCCTTGTCTTTCAGCAGAAAGCCTCCGCCTTCCCAGCCATTGCTTTGGCGCCGCCACCGGGGGCCCAAGTGATCGATGCTTGCGCGGCGCCTGGCTCGAAGACCTCCCAGCTGGCGGTTCCCTGGCAAAGCACTCAGATTTGATTCGCTACCTTCCAATACGCCTTTATCAAATTGGGCAAGCCGAGGCTATGATGAAGAATGAAGGTCAAATATTTGCATTTGACAGAGATGGCCGGCGATTGAAAACAATGATCGAGCTACTTCAGCGCAGGCATGTTTCTTGCGTCGAAGCGTGCGAGAAGGACTGGGTGGATGCACGTCAATGTTTGCCAATGGAAATCACATGCTGTTACTTTTTGCAGTGAGGACTTCTTGCAAGTATCTCCGAAGAATGCCAAGTATCAGCACGTCACCCACTTCCTCTTAGATCCCAGTTGTTCTTCCTCAGGGATGACTGCGCAGCAGCTCACGGGTGACGAAGTTGCGACGTTGACCGCCAATCAGCAGAAGGTGATCCGTCATGCTATGCGGTTTCCTGCCTGCCAACGGATCGCATACTCTACTTGCTCCATCCTGGACAAGGAGAACGAACTTGTTGTGCAGAAGGCCCTGGGCTCTCAATTCGACAGGCCTTCCGGCCCTCCCCCCCAGCCCCATGCGAGGTGTTGAGCACGGCCGAGGGCGCGCGGTTTCAACTGGAACGAGCCTTGCCTTGGCCACAGCCTTGGCATCCTGATGCATGTCTCATGTGTTGATTTGATTGGTTCACTTGTGCTGTAGAAATCTTTGTATGTTGTTTCTCAAGCCGAGGTGGCCCAGACGTGGCCTCCCGGTCTTCCCTGGGACGGAGTGCTGCGTGCGCAGTACTTGGGAGGACCAGACCATCGGCTTCTTCCTTGCCCTCTTCGTGCGCAACGAAACAGCGTGCAAGCCAGCGGCCCTTTTGTTTGGCTCCTTGGCCCTTTTTAGCAACTTGTTGGAAGCAAGATAGCCAGCTTAGCGGCTAAGCTGGCAAACCTGAAACCATTTGAAGGCATGTCTGGCTCGACAGCCTGCCGCTGCCGCTTGCTTGCTTGTCTGAGCAACTTAGTCCCGCCTTGCTTCGCAGGAGGTGTTTGGCTCATCTAGATAGTGAACATATTAGCTTGAGCTTGAACAAGCTAGCTTCACCGTGTCTTGGACAGATAAGACCTGTGGGGCTGTTGACGCCTGTGTGAACACCCTGCAGACGTCATCAAACCTTAGTTTGCATGGCGTAAATGCTCCGCTTGAAGCAGTTGACACTTGCAAACTGCTACATTGTCCGCGTTTCCTGAAGCACGGCGCCCATGGCAAGATAGGCACCGCAGGCTTGAGGCAGCTTCGGCCGTCGGGTTGCTTGCCAGGGGCCATGGCCTCAAGACCGCGCGGGCGACGCGGACGGAGTCCGAGCCCCAGCCTGCTCTTTGTGCCCGCACTTCCCACTTGCCAGGTCGGGACACAAAAGACCCAAAAGACCGGGGAGACCGGGACCGTGACAGAGACCGCGGAGATCGGGACCGCGGGGATCGCGGCCGTGGAGGACTGGACCTGCATCTTGCGCGGGATTCCTGGGCGTCGCCGGCAGTTTTTCAGGAAGGCCTCAGAACGACAAGCGCAGCCGTGGACGAGGCCACAGGGAGATGACCTCGGCACCAAGATGTAGTTGCTGTCAGTGTTGCGTGCTCAAAGGCTGAAAGGGGGCACTCCTTGCATGGCACATGCCGCAGGCAGCACTGGCAGAGATAGGAGGCCGTGGCGAAATCCAAACGTGTCACAGCACGTCAAACGGGACCTCTGCTTCTGCAGGCCTGGCTCTCGCAGGCGCTCACGAGGAGAGGGAATGTGTCACCGAGTTCTTGCCCTGTTCGCCCGAAGCGTGCGTCATCTGCCAGGAGCAGAAAATAAGAGCCGAGGCAAGAGCCGAAGCAAGAGCCGAAGCAAGAGCCGAGGCAAGAGCCGAGGCGAGAAGAGCAGAGGCAGAGGACACTTCCAAATGGTGAAGTGGCACTGCCACATGGTGAGAAATGCCAAATGAGACCCATGTGAGACCACATGTGAGACCCATGTGAGAGGTCGATCGTTCTCTCCGCATCTCGAGGAGAGCTGAGCTTCAAGGGCCTCCTGGAGGCAAAGCGCGCCAAGCGAGACCGCGACGGCCGCAAGGACGGATAGATGTGGGAAGGTGTTGTGCAGATGCCGCTACGATATATTCCAGCATTTCTCCAGGATGTTCGATTTTCCCCAGGAAGTTAAATTGTGAAGGTGTTCAGAATCTAGCCTAAGCAGATCTAATTTGCTTAGAATATAAGCCAAACTTATGCTTGGATAAGCAACATTTTTCAGCTAGGATCACTTCCTGGACTTTTGCTCAGAAAGATCCCCTGTTCCTGGACATTCCGAGACCCCGATTTTGACAATTTCGAAGCTTGGACAAGCGTCCAAGCAAGTCTAGTTTCCTGTAAAAGGTTCCCTGCGAAAATCTTCACGCCATCTACGAATGAAAGTGGGCGAGGACAGCTCCAAGCGGAAGCGCAGGCTGGGCTGAGGGAGCATCCGCATTCCCTGTGAGTTCCAAAATTATGTGGCGGCCCGTGCCAGGAGAAAAACGGAAAGCGAGCCCGAAAAGGAGACAGAGGAAGCAGAAGAGGATGGAGACGAAGCCGAGGATGCAGAGGATCAGGATAAGGAGAGCGATGAAAAGGCTGACACAGAAGTAGAGGAGGACGAAGAAGAAGTGGACGAGAACGACGAAGCAGGGGACAAGGATGAGGATGAAGAGCAAGAAGACAAGGACGATGAGCAAGATGAAGATAAGGAGAACGAAATGGAGGACAATGAGGATAAGGACCAAGACTCGCCTGAGGCAGAGCCAAGCAGATGCCGCATGAACTTGGAATTTTGAGCACCCCCATTGGCTCTACTTATTGCGTTCTGGTTTGGCCAACTTGATCAAGCGACGCATACCCTGAGGGCAAGGAGGAAGCCGCTGAAGATGGTGATGGCAAGTTTGAGCACTTGGATGCTACTGAACTTGCGAGCTACTGGCAACAGGACGCGAGCACATCGATCTTTCGGGGCATGCGACTGGCAGCCATTTGCAGCCTGAGGAGAACCAGGAAGATGAAAAGGATGCGAGCGAGGCCAAACTTGGCCAAACTTGGCCAAGCTTACTTGGCCACATTTGGCCACTCGCGGTGTGGGATTGTGCACCGGCCTGCTCCAGGCTGAAGCTCCCGCACTGGCAGCAAGACCTAAGGCCCGGAGCTGAGGCTGAGGCTCCAAAAGTTGGCATTGAACCTGTCGGATCTGCCCAGTCCTGAAAGGTTAGAACGGGAAGGTAAACCTTTTTGGGTTTCAGGACGATGTTTCTTTTTTTTTTTTCCTTTTCATGCATGGCAGCATGTATACAGCTGGCGTCGCGCAGGTCCGGCCGGCGCGACGGGCCGCGCCCCCGCCGGATCCGAAGGCAAGCGCCGGGCAAAAGGTCGGCCGCGACGCCGCGACGCCGCGACGCCGGGCCGCGCTGCGTCAGGAGCGCGAGAGCGACAAGGACGACAAGGACGAGAAGGACGAGAAGGACGAGAAGGACGAGAAGGACGGACTCCCGCCAGTTGAACGGCGCACGCCCAAGGACTCGTCCCATGCGTCCACTGCCAGTGAGCAGCCTGGTCCTGAGCTGTGAGCTTGGCTTCCCGCGGTTCAGAAACACGTGAGGCCAGAGACATCCGCGCGGAAAGCGAGCACAAGACCGGGCTGCCCGGGAAAGTTGTGTGTGGAAGTTGTTGGCTCATGGGCTATGCGTGGCGTTGAGTCATGTTGAGTCGTGGCGCAGGAAGAGGTGAGGGACATGAAAGGGTCCGAGTGAAGCGCACCTCGGCCTCACCATGCCCTTTTGCTTTCGAAGCCTATGGCTGGTTTGCTTTCCGAAGGCAAGCGAAGGCGAAGGCTGGCGGGCTGCATGTGCGCGTGCTGTTGTAGAATGAATGTCGCATTCGGCAATCCACCACTTTCCACAAAAATGCAGTGCAGCCGCTACGCTGCTCACAGGAAAAGACGTGTTGAGGATGGCGAGCGCAACAAAGGCACTGACAACGAAGCCAGGCTCTTGGAGCCAATGAAGCACTCAGAGTGGTTGGTTTCTGATCTGTTTGGCTTTAGGAGAAAAAGCCTTCGGACCACGACATTGCCAGGGCCATAGGCTTCCGTGGCGATGGCGAAGTTTGGCTAAGTTCGATCTGGAGCCTGCAGGTCGCAATGGTAGTGGCTGCTGCGGACGAGCTCGCTGCTGATGAGGCCAGGCTCGAGTTTTATTCGTTGCTCTGCTTATGCGCAGGCTGAGCACACGCATGAGAGCCGCAAGACAGAGTCGCCGGAGGCCCGTAACAGATCCCGTAACCCACCGATGTTTGCAGTGAGCGAGAGCCGATTGGAATCGAGTCACGGGGAGCTAATCGCTTTTGACTTGGGGGCGCGAGTGGTTGGGATGGCACCTCGATTAATCTGCGCTCACTGGATGACCACGGCGCTGCATTCAGCGGGGCTTGATTTTACTATACGTGTGCTAGTCATCGAACATCATAAAAGCAGAAAAGCACAAAAACAAGCCTCGTGTTTTGGCGGCTGGCTTCGGCATGTTTCCGTTTGCTTTTCGTTCCCGTGTGGCAAAATACACTCAGAGACCTGAAAGAAAGTGCGGCAAGTGTTTTTTGCGCAAGTAAATGCCAGCCATGGCACCTGGCAGGTGTCGGACGGCCGTTGCCCCAGACTTTTCCCGGACGCGGAGTGCGTGCTGAGCTGAGCTGAGGTGAGAAGGCCTCCGAGAAAGAGGCCGAGGCCGAGGCGTCAGCGGACGAGGCGGCCGAGAGTGAGGCCAAGGCGAGCCAAGAGGAGAAGCCCGACGAGGCGGCAAAATCTGTGGCCATGTTTTCGGATAGCCCGCAAAGTCCGACGAAAGTTTTCGGGTTAGGCGGAAGAGAAAGAGCTCAGCATGCGGGTGGCAGCTGAAGCGAACGTCACGGCCCCATGGCCCAAACAGTCAACTGGAGCGCGATCCGGGCTGAGGCCTTGATCCGAGAGGTCTACCAGCGCCAGAACCCGGCCAAACTTGGGGAGGTCCTTGGGCATTTGCCGTGTTTGCCGGAGAAAGGGCATGCCTTGAGATTTCTTTTGCTATCGGGCGGTTTGGAAGCGGTTGAGGCTTCAGTAACTTTAGGCTTTGGCCGGAATGCGACAGGTGAGTGCTCTCCTCGCCAAGTACGCAGGGGCTGAGCCAGAACTTCAGGTGCTTTTGCATCGGTGTGCAAGAATCCCTACTGAAGGCTGGCTCTCTACGAGCGCGTTTGCGAGAAGTACGGGGACGGTGTCACGAGCGGTCCAGCGAGAGAAAGAAAATCCCGAGAGGTTCAACCTGGAAGTTTGCGCAAATTGAAATCGCAGGAGACGCCCCAGGACATCGAAGTGATACTTCAGAAGGCGCCCCGGCGCAGCGCATGGCTTGGCGAAAATGGGCTTAAATTGATCGAGGCCGCCCAAGAAGTGGCCAACAAGAGGGCTGACCCGGCCTTAGTCGCGTGGCAAGGGCCCGAACTGGCGCTCGAATGCTTGTGAAGTGTTTCTCCAGCTCGAACTGGAGAAGCGCAAACAACACAGCGATTCGGGCGAAAAACGGATGCCAAACGATACTAGAGAAGAAGGTTACGTAAGGTTACAAGGGCTGTCCACAGTTTTGCAACTCAACCTCGAGCTAGAAGCATCAATGCTCAAACTGGTGCTGCTACTAAACCGCTTTGCAGCAATTCACGAACAAATACTATTACAACTAGTCCTCCAGCACTACTCCAATGCTAAGTGTTAAAAGCAGGGCACCAGGGTTTAGGCTGTGTAGGGCGTGATTGACTGATTGGCCGGCTGCCTGAGATCCAAGCTTGGCCAGCCGTCCTCGTCTGACTTCTCCTAAACGTTTCTTGTCTGACAGTTTTCTTTATATTTTTCAGTAGGCCTCAGCACATCCGAATTCTTGGATTCACGAATGCACCCCCTTGAATCCTTGAATGCCCGGTATTAAGGAATCTGGATCCAAGTAGACCTCAAAAGTCCCCAGCATTCAGAAATCTATATGAGAGTGATGAGAAACCTGAATCCCAGTATGAAGGTTTCAGGGGGTGCATTCACGGATCCAAGATTTCATGCAACAGTCCCCCGGCAAGCTTGGATCTTGGATCCAAGAAATCCAGTTGGCAGTCCTAAGAAACCTTCATGGCGGTAATTCTATTTCTGGCGCGCCCCTTGCATGTGTAACATGCAATGCATGTATATGTTATGGACCTATCTGCAAAGAGTTTAGGCAGACGGTGGCTTTTTTTCTTTTGCTTCCCGAGGCGCCCGAAGCAGCGCCCGCTTTGGCGGCCCGAGCCAAAGGTGCGTCGAAGCCACCGCAGCGCGCCAGCGGCAGCGAAGTCCTGGGTGTGGCTGTGCCCCGGCCGACCTCATTCGACTCAAGTTCGACTCAAGTCGCTGCGAGAATTGGACCACTTACATCTTAGGGCCTTCCGCAAGGGCTGAGAGTTTTGTGCAACTTCGGGAAGCTTTACCATGGAGAATGGGCCCTGTCACAAATCTGAGGACACACCAGAATCTCCTGAGAAGCCACCGGACGAGGCACATCATGGCTCTGCAAATCACATGGCTTCCCTGGTTTGCTCAGGTTCTGGCTGCGGCGATGGAGGAGGCATGGCTTTGGGCAGTGAGTGGCAGTTGGCACCACAAGCCCTGCAAGGTGGATGGTCATGAGTCAGGGTCGGAGAAGTCGAAGTCGAAGGAGTCAAAGAAGTCGGAGAAGTCGGAGAAGTCGGAGTCGGGCAAGGGCGAGCCAGAGAAAGGACCGCTCCGTTCCTCCGCGCCCGGCTTCAAATCGCACTGTCGCACTGTCGCGCTTTCGCGCTTTGCGCTAGGCCGAGGGAAGGCCAGCTCGGTGGACGACGTCTCTGCCCCGTCAGAGCCCCGGGCCCCGGGCGGGTGCAAGCCGAGCGAGCTGCAAGCCGAGGGCCGAGCGAGGGAGCTGTGGCTTGGAGTTCTCTCGTTCTCACCTAAGGCCCAGACAGGGAGTGAAGAGAGTCAAGCGAAAGCGAAGAAAGCGAGTCCCGCGCAAGCATGAGCGGGACACGCGTGAGGAAGAACTTTCAAGTGAGAAAGCAGCCAGACGCAATTAGTTACCATCAATTGCGGCATAAAGTAGATGTGTATTTTTGCAATACGCGTATAGATGTGCATGAATGTGCATGTGCGAAGGCATGTCGTGTGAGCTTTTTCCTTTCGCTTTTTTATGCTTTTTTTTGCCCATTTGGAGAGGGTACCTGACAGCAACGCAAGGATGGCTACGTGCCAAGGAAAAAGGCACGCGTGCCGGTGAAGGCAGGGAGGGCATGCTTTGCGTTGGAGGGCCCGAGCGGTTTGCGTCATACGCTTGTCCTCAAGTTTGGGTGGGCAACTCGTGCGAGACGAGCCAGAAGCTGCATCAGCGTAAATGCACTGCATGGCAAAGCTGAGGCAGACTCGGAAGAGAGGTCTCCAGAGCCATCGCCAAAGTCAGTAGCAAAGTCTCCAGAGCCAAAGTCGCCAGAGCCGGTGCCAAAGTCCGAGCCAAAGTCTCCAGAGCCGAAGTCTCCAGAGCCGAAGTCTCCAGAGCCGAAATCTCCGGAGCCAAAATCTGCGGAGCCAAAATCTGCGGAGCCAAAATCTGCAGAGCTGAAATCTGCGCAGAAGAAGGCCGGAAGTCGGAAGGGACCAAGAGCACTCTTTGGCATGCTTTGGCATGCCACGAAAGTTGGGCGTCTACCCAAGGGCCTTCTTTGGCTCTACGTGAAAATTTGCACGTGTTGCTCAAGAGTCTCCTTTGATTCCCCAAGGTCTCCTCACGGCACCAACATTGGGTTGGGCGGGGGTTGTAAATTGGCTTCCATTTTTCCATCGCGTGTTCCTTTGCCAACGAAAGGCGATCCATCATCTTGAGAACCTCCCCCCCCCCCCAGCTAGCTTTCCCCATGCAACCCCTTTGTGCCATCTCAGAGGCCTGGACGTCGTTTCTCTTGCATGAGCACGCAGGATGCCAGCTCAACGCCTACAAGGGACCATGCCAACAGCCAAGCAGGCTGGAAGTTGTTCCTTGCCAAATTGTCAAAAGCCGAATTTCTAGCCGCCGTCTTTCCCCAGCTCTGCAAACTGACTCGTGAGTGAGCCGAAGGTGACATGCTCCGAGGCTCTTCGGTTCTTTGCACTATGTTTTTATTTGGGGCGCTCGCTTCGAAGCGCGCATGCCTTTGAAGTCCTAACAAACCTTGGAAGCCTTCGAAGGATGGGCTTTGCTCGCTTTGCTTTCGGCTCCAGGCCGAGTCACGGGCTTCGCCAAGAAGTCCTCGGCTCCTCCGCCGGCGCCGGGCCCGCCGCCGGCCGGGCCGCCGCCGGCCGGGCCGCCGCCGGCCGGGCCGCCCAAACCCGCACCGCCCCCGGGCTACTTCCCAGTGCGCCCAGGCGGGGACACTGTGACACGTGACATTTCGAATCCTCCACAACCTTCGGGCTTCCACGACCTTCCCTGACCTTCCATGACTGTCATGACCTTCCGCGACCCGGGCTTCCTGAAGACCCAAAGCTAAGCCATGTCCGAAATGAAGGGAACTTGTGGAAAGCTGGCGCGTTGAAGTTACATGTTAACAAGTCAGTGGTTAGCTAATCAAGTCTGATGGAAGTCGGGTAATTCGCATTAATTCGCAGTGTCTCCAAATCTAGCAGTTTTGGAACAAGCTGCGTTTGTTATCCTGTGGCCTGGCTTGCAAAAGCCGAAGCTGAGCCGGCAAACAAAATGACGTCCAGATCTCCAAGGGACTAGGCGATTGACATTCTGTTTGGCTTCGCCCCTGTCAGCATTTGGTCTCGCAATTTGTGTATGGCAGTGCTCGTATTTTTGCCACAAGGCATTGAATCATTGCCACAAGAAGGCTCAATGCAAAACGTGTTTGGGTCAGTACGGCAAACAATACCCCCTTCCCCGCTGCGGATTCTGCGTGTGAAGGTGTGGCTTGCGTCTCACAGGTGCCAGTGCTTCCGATCATGCATTATGCTGTTTGTCTAGTCTCTCCATCTAGATCAGGTAGTTGTTAAGTTTGTTTTTCTTCTTTTTCTGAGCGCATTCGCAGGGCCTCCGCCCAGCGTGCCGCCGCCGCTGGGGCCGCCCCCCGGGTCCTGGGCGCCCAAGGCAGCGGCCATGTCCAAGCAGGCGGCAAAGGCGGCAGCCAAGGCCAAAGCCAAGGCCCAGGCAGAGGCGGCCCAGGCGGCCCAGGCGGCCCAGGCGGCCCAGGCGGCCCAGGCGGCCCAGTCGGCCAGCGCGGCCAACGCGGCCAAAGCGCAGGCCAAGACAAAAGCCAAGCCAGGCCGGGCCACGAAATAAGGAGAACATGGGAAGATTGAGAAGACACGAGACTGTTCCAGGCGAGTGTCCAGTGCTGGACGTTGGTCCGGAGAACTCGTCCTCTTATACCTCCTCCGAGCTGTCGGAGAGCGAGGAGGTCGGGTTGCCGCTGCCACCGGCCGCGCGACAGCCCCAGCAACTTCCTTGTTCTGGCGCCGGGCCTTACCCGTGCAACTGAATCAGTTTGCATGATTTTGCATGCTGCATGCTGCGCGTCGCTGTCCAAATTGATCGCTACGAGGAAGGCTATGGCCACCATTGGTGCGAAGGCCGGGGCCGGGCAGTGACGTCGTGCGGTGCATTGCGCGTTCAGTGATTCAGGCAGCTCCCAAGGCAACCACGGCGAAGCCCGGGCCCCTGGGAAACGCTGAGCACAGTCCTGGAGCAATTCGGGGCACTGAGCCGAGGAAGTGCCAGAGCGTCAGCAGCGCAGCAGCCTCGGTTTCAGTGAACTTTCTCTGCCGATCGAGTGATTCAGAGATGCCACCCGAGTCCGACGTGAGCAGCTCCGAGTCTGAAGCGGAGGCGTCGCAGAAGGCCGTCGCAGGACCTACACGCTTCCAGTCGAAATGGGTGTTTGCACCCAAGGATCCGGCAGTGACACGGCTTGCAGGAGTGAGGTTGTCGCCCACAATCTCCCCGCCGCGGCTTAGAGAGGCCCTGTGGGTGCGGCTTCCCCACACAAGCGTTGCAAAGCCGGGCAGGTCATGGCAGGGAAAAGGAACGTCGCGAGAGCCTCATAAATGCCAGCCGGATTCGGGCCAAGTCGCCAGCACGAGCACTGGCAACTTGCTGCCCAGGATATGGCGATACTGGATCGGTATCATGAGGCGTTTGGTCACACACTGCATGGGGCCCCACAGCCAGTGCCTGCAGGTATTTTGCAGCTGACGTCGTAGACTCGACCTGCAATGAACGCGGAGACAACAAGCCAACGTGGTTCTGCTGCATGTATTGTGCCTTTGGGGGGCGCACGAAGTGGCGCTTGCACACCTTAGTATGGCATGCGGCCATGTGGTGTGAAAGGTTTGGCGAAGGGTCATGTAAGTTTCATAGGCACAGCTTAGTGGAAGGCAGCATGGCAGCATTGATGGGAATTGGCCACTTGTAGCGAGTTCCGTTGAGCTATGCTTCATGGATGACGGCATTGACCTTGACCCAGCAATCCGTCAAGCAGCGTCCTGACCACTTGGCAGTGAGCTACCTCACGCTGGAGCGCACCGTGGGCTGGCTGACCTACCGGCAGGCGAGGGTCTCGAAAGCCATGTGTGGCATGCGGCATTTTACGAGGCAGTTTGGGCATTGTCTCTTTCTTGTTTGCGTTGGCTAGTTGGCTAGGTATGGTATCTTGCTGGGCTGATCGCTCGTTGCCTCGGCGGCAGCGTCTTGGCAGTGGCCATCGACGATGGTCCCTACCTGGCATTGGCAGAGCTTGCTGGCTGGCGCAGGCTCCCGAATGAATCCTTCCCTGCGGCTGCGTGTTAAAGTTCCGTTCCTGTCTTCCTGTCTTTTTTTCGTTTTTTGTTGCTGCTTTTTGCTCCGGTTTGGTAGGGGCATGGTCCTGGTGCCCTTGGATCCGCACGACCCCGTGGCGCGGCTGCGGCACGTGGCCGCCGAAGCGGGGGCCTCCTGCATCGTGACCAAAGACTGGGGCGATGCAAAGCGACTCGTCAACCGCCGATGCCAATCGGCGCTCGTCGTGAAACTGCAAACTGAGCATTTGGGAACGCAAGAGTCTGAAGGCCCCATGCGAACCAACTAAGGAAGTTGGCAGATGCTGCTGAGGTGGAAGTCATCGATCTGAGCCTGGCAGTGCCCCTATCCGAGCTCTCAGAGCAGGAGCTGCAGGAGCCGCATGAGCAGGACCCGGAGCCGGAGTGTGACCCCGAATCCGTTGCATACATGTGGCCCGGCGTGGCATGGCCGGGCTTGCAAGTGAGTGACTTGAGCTCAGGTGGTTCACGAGCGGCTCAACGGGGCAACCCAAGGGGGTCTTGATATCTCACCGAGCTTTCAGAAACTGGCGGCTTGATATCTCAATTGGCTTTGGCAGTTGCACTTGTAGGCCAGAAAGTCAGTCCTGCAAGCTCTGACGTGCCGAGGTGTGTAGTCAAAAACCCACCTCAGCGCATTACAGAGAAAAGCGTCGTGCTGATTGCATCCGCGTCCACGTTCGATCCATCCATTGGCGCCTTGGCAGTTCCATCAAAGCTGCAGTGAGGTTGTGGGTCAACTCTTGCCAGGCTGACAGATGTCCCCTTGCATATTGCCGCGTTTCATCAGACCCACCCAGATGCACACCCGCCCGCCCCCACCCACGCCCCACACAGACGCAGACACACATACACAAACACAGACAAGGACGTCTGAGACGCACGCACACACAGACACAACACATAGACACACACACACACAGAGACAGCCACAGACGTACACAGGCGTGGCGGAGACAGCCACAGCTAGCCAAAGCAAGGAAGTAGACGAAACAGACCGCAAGCGCAACCAAACATTCCTGAGCAAACTGAGGAGTGACAGTCGAGTAAGGATGTATCCCACGCCGTGTCTTGCAAACGTCTGTCATACAGTCATACAGGTTTTGGAAAGTTCATCCGGGTCGCTCAATGCGTAATGTTGGACCTGCTTTAATTTGATCCCCCCCCCTCCCCCCCCCTGAACAATGGAACCAGTCAGCGGGACCCTGTTTAGGCAAACCATGGGGGTCTGGGTGGGACTTTCAACTTGATTTAGTATTGGTAGACTTGAGTTTCCGTTTGATTTAGTATTGCTGGAGCTTCCTTTTGAGATCTGGAACTGAGTTTCCATTTGATTTAGTATTGCCGGAGCTTCCTTTTGAAATTTGCTCCCAAAACCAGTTGAACACTAAAGAGGACCCCAAAGCAATCACATTAAAGAGGATCAGGGTTGGTTGTGGGCAACCCCCTTTGTGTGATTGATTCACCTTGCTTTCTTGTAAAGAAGTTATCATAATTTTGATGGTTTGGGCACAACTTGCAAAATGGATTTCCTAGACCTCAGGCTAGCTCAGAACCAGCCTCCAGCTCAACATCAGCTAAGGCTTAGTCTAGCTTGAGCCCGACCTGAGCCTGCCCAGACCAGAGAGTTGAAAACAAACAAGCCTGAACTTCTTTTTGGATTTTTTTGGGGGAGGGGAAAAACTTGCAACAATAGCGGACCCCTAAAACAGTCTCAGGATCCTGAATTGCAAAAATATGTTTTACAATAGCGGCGACTTTCATTAAAGCGGGTGTAATATTCCGCCCGAGGACCCCCCAGTTGAGGTGGCTCACACACACGCACACACTTAAACTCCAAATGGAGAGTGCTAATCTTTCGAGTACAACTGATGAGTCTCGAGTACAACTGATGAGTCTCGAGTGGGCGTAGGTTCGGCTTGCATTCACTTGTTTTCCGTCTAGCAGCGAACACGTTACCCGAAAGAACAAGAAGCACAAACAGCGCCGCAACCAAGGGGGCCAAAAAGACATTTGCAAAACTGGTGCAGGTACACATCAAGGCGCCCCTTGATGCATCCAGTCATCCTCGATAGCTTCGTTGGCGTGGCTACGAGGAGACCGCCACGCCCCCTGCTGAGAAACCGAAAGGGTGGTGACAGGGCATTCTGTCACTCCGCACACACACACGCTAGTTACAATTCCGAGAGAGGGCGCTGATCAAGTTCGAGTCCACGTGTCGAGTGGGAAGCTGGACTCATGCTTCAAGAGTTCGAGCGACTAGGTTTGAAAACGTTGCCGGCGGGAACACAGCGAGAAACGCAAGTTGATCAGACTCTTTCGCGCCAGGCTGCGTAGCTTCGCTGGGCAAGCTGGCAAATGGCACACAAACTCGGACACCAGAGGCACAAATAGACACAGGCCAGGGACACAGAGACACAGACAGACAGACAGACAGACAAAGACAGAGACAGAGACAGAGACAGAGAAAGAGACAGAGACAGAGACAGAGAAAGAGACAGAGACAGAGACAGAGAAAGAGACAGAGACAGAGACAGAGACAGACAGACAGACAGACAGACAGACAGACAGACAGACAGACAGACAGACAGACAGACACAGACACACAGTGACAGAGACACGGACAAGGACACGGACACGGACACGGACACGAACACAGAGACAGAGACAGGGACACAGACACAGACACAGACATGGGCACAGAGACAGAGACAGACACACAGACACACAGACACAGAGACATACAGACACACAGACACACAGACGCACAGACAGACAGAGACACAGAGACACAGAGACACAGAGACACAGAGACACAGAGACACAGAGACACAGAGACACAGAGACACAGACACAGAAGCACAGAGACACAGAGACAGAGAGACACAGACACACAGACACACAGAGACACAGACACACAGACACACAGACACACAGACACACAGACACACAGACACACAGACAGACACACAGACACACACACAGACACACAGACACACACACAGACACACACAGACACACACACAGACACACACAGACACACACAGACACACACACACAGACACACACAGACACACACACACACAGACACACAGACACAAACACACACAGACACACACACAGACACACACACACACAGACACACACAGACACACACAGACACACACAGACACACACACAGACACAGACACACAC